TTTGAGAACCTTGGCTACTGCTGTTAATTTAATAGTATAGTGCTGATTGCTAATTTTCTAAAAACATTTTTTTTGACCGGTAAGGGGATCACAACCCTTGGCATGGTGTCGTCCGCACCATGCCCAGCCAGTGAGTGCACCAGCCATCCCCATATAGGATCCGAACCCACGGCCTCGGCGCTACTGACGCTACTGGTGCCGCACTCTCCTGAGTGAGCCACGGGGCCGGCCCTAAAAACATTTTTTTAAACTTTATTTAGTCAGGCTACCTAGCCAAGTGTCTTATTTGAAAAGAACATATTTACATTATCCTGGACAGGACAAGAGATTAAAATATTGTTTAAGCCTAAGGAACCTAACATATGTTCAGTTGAATGGTCACATAATTTGATGGATGTGTTGGCTTTATAACTAGTGCTTAATAAAGATGTGCTGACTAAATGAATGAATGCTTGATTTTTAAACTTCATACTATTGTTAATTTTAAAAGACATTTCTAAGATACTATACTCAATTTCACAAGCGATGTTTTTAATAATCTGTATTTGGGAAAGGTCTTTTTAAATTAGTTATTTTAAAGAAACCTTACCTCAGATGGAAAATTATCTGTACATTATTACAGGTGTGTTAAAAACACTTGATCTCTCACTACTAAAAATATGTATCTCTTCAAACTACTACCACTCAAAGGTGATATATCTTCTAATGATTTTATTTTTTAATTTCCTTCTTATTTCATATATACTATATTGAATGTATAAATATTAATAGAGTAAGTACAATGGCCAGTATTCTGAATTGTTCTGTTCCTTCTATAAGGTCATGATGACATGCTGAGAAGTCCGCTGATATTAGAATGTTGGATGTTAAAAGTAAATATGGCTGAGATAGGAGGACATTGGCTGCCATACATAGAATCAGGAGGTTATTATAATTTTGAAGCGTGTTTTGTGGCTAAGTTAAAACAAAAGGTTGATTAACTTGGAAGATTCAAAGCAATGCTTCTTTAAGCTAGCGAGGGACACTGTTTAGTGTCTAGCTTCTCTGTTCTTCAACTTCCTGAAATGGAGATATTTCAGTTCAAAAAAGGGCTGTTGGTCATCGTAGTATATTTTCTTTTTTCTTCTCTTGGGTTGATGGTTAAACCCCGTTTCTTTATGCAAAAACTGAAAGTCCCATATAGTTTATAGTTTAGATATTATCTCAAGTTTAGACATACTTAACTGTAATTCGGCTAATGATTATTTTATACATGCAGGTTAAGAGTAATTCTGTGAGGTTTTTCGCAAGCTAGCACAGTCTGGTGTACTTGGCCCGAATGAAAGGGTTTAAGTGGAAATGTAAAACACATGCACACACTCACACACAAACACAAGAAAACAGAAGGCATTGTAATTAAAGCTATGTTTTTGGTATAAGAAAATATAAACAGATCTGTGAAACAGAATAGATTACACAAAGTCAGATAATACTAAATGCAGAAGTTTCATTGGTTTACAGTGGAGAACTTGCACATCTGTCGGAAAAAGGAAGGTTTAGTTTTTCATTTTATGCAATATACAAAAATGAATTCCAGATGGATTTGAGCATTAATTTTTAACATGAAACGAATGGATAACTAGA